AGCGCTAGCCTAGGCTAGCTACTCCTTGCTATCAGAAATAAAACCGTGTGAAACTGACAAGTGCTCAGTAGAAAAGTGCCGCAGAAGGTGCTATGTTTTAAAGTAGTCAGTTAGAGTTACTTAGATACAGAGATATCACAGAGAAAATAACTTAACTTCAGATGGAGATCCTCTGAACAGCTGCAACAGCTCCACACTCCGTTAATCCACCTGGAGCAGGAGCTTTGCTCGACAATGATCAGTTTTATCAGCTTCTTCTAACGTTGTGTTAAGATCACAGGTTAGTTGATAATCATCTTTCATTTTAGGAATATCATTTTCAATCTGGCTAAAAAAGGAAGATATTTTTGTCCAGAAAACGCGGAAGTCTAGAAGTTGTTATAAAAGGAATCATTATCTGCTGCTGATTAATTATAAAGGATTTAAAACCATTTTGTTGTTTTCCTGTTGAATAAAGATTTGATCTATCTTAGATTGGAGGGTTAATATTATAAACGTTTTTACTTCCGGGGGATTAGGTTTATTGTTAAACATGTTTAGTTGATTTATAAATATCAGGTTCTTCTTTAATTTGTTTACTGAATAAAAGAGAAAACTGTCTGATCTTGTATTTTAGAAAATCCCATTTCTGGATTTGGTTGTTTAATCGTTCAGAGTCTTTATAATATATAAAAATTATTCTTTAATATTTTAGCACCAGGCGTCATTTTTAGAAGATTGGAGATAAATTTACCTGAATCTGGACTTTATGGTTTGGCCTTCAGGATTAAGAGAGGAGATTATGGTTAAAGGCGGTTTCCATTTTTATTTTATGAGCTGAGTTTGCTGCGTCTGACGCCAAGGTAGTTTTTTTTCCTTTTTTTAAATGAACTTTATTTATACAAAGTTTAAAGAAGGAACTCTGAGCAACAGTCTCTGCAGAGGGCAGAGCAGCGGCAGATTTCAAACTGGAAATATAAGATAGGATTGATAAGGAACAAAAAAAGAATAAAGGAATGATAATAATTAAACTATAATTAAAATAACAAGAGGATTGATGAACATCGCTGATTAATCCCATCAGCTGTTCAGTCATGATTCGATACATTTAAGACGTTTCAAATATAACGAATTCAGATTATAGAAAACCTTAAAGACTGAGGATGATCTCAACTCTCATCGTTTATGAATAAAAGGTTATGCTTAAACACAGAATTAGGTTAAAGTTTTATTGTTTTTATTTAATAGTATCCCAAAGTTCCCGTATCTCTAGAGAGATTTTAAAATCTTTTTATTTGATCCATCTCTATGAGAAATTCCAAAATGATTTGGTTTATCTATCTATAGAAGTCTGTGGTTTCTACGTCACTTTCACACAATGAGCATTTATGGTCATTAAAACCAAATCCCATCAGTTCTTCTGACAGTATTTAACATTTTAAAGTGTATTTATTTAGCTTTTGGGAGTTTTATTTACTGCTATGGCCTGGTGACCTGTCCAGGCTGGACCCCGCCTCCCGCCCACTGGCTGCTGGAGATGGACACCAGCAGCCCTCCCCCCCCAGCAGGGACAAGCGTGTCAGAAGATGGATGGAGTTTATTCAAAGAATTCTTAACATTTGAACTAATTAATTTTTTTTTAATCAAATTTGCAAAGAATGTTGTTTTGATTTATTTTCCAGGGAATAAAGTTTAATTTAGAAAGATTCTAAGTTTGCTGATTGGATGATTAATGTTCCATCAATAGATCATCATAGATAATATGTTATTAGATCTTTAATCTGAGTGACAAATGGTTTTGGTAACAGGTGGTCTCCACATGTTATTCAAAGCCAGAAATCTCCCATCATGCCTTGCGGCACCGGAAACGTCCCCTGCTTTTGGCGCGGTGTCGGCCATCTTGGAAAGCCATCGCTGTGAGGAAGAGGCTCCGCTTCCCGCTCCTGCTGCTCATTGATTGCTTTCTTTCGCTCTTTTAGAGGAACCGCCGCAGCGACGCCGCTCCGACCAACCGGAAACTCTCCTCTAGCTTCACTACTTCCGGCTTCAAACTAACCGAGGATCGAGCAGCATGGCGACAGTCCGCGGTACTCCGAGCAGAGAAGCGGGGCGGCCAGCGGCCTCCACGCCTCTGTCCCCCACCAGGATATCCCGCCTCCAGGAGAAGCAGGACCTGCAGCACCTCAACGACCGCCTGGCGGTCTACATAGACCGGGTCCGCTCCCTGGAGGTGGAGAACGACCGGCTGATGGTGAAGGTGTCCGAGAAGGAGGAGGTCACTACCAGAGAGGTGGGTGGAGGCGCCCCTGCTGGGCCCAGAGAGGCGCGATTTACCGCGGCTCTGCTGCCTGGCTCCGCCCCGGTGTCTGAGGGAGGGGGGGTGGGGGACCGGACCAGGACCAGGACCCATGTAGGTTCTGGTCTAACCGAGTCCGGACGGGTTTAGACTGGAGCAGAAAACAGCAGCTCCACTTTACTGAGGAGTCTGATTGAACTGAACCCAGCGGGCCACCGTAGCTTTGATTTCTATCAGCAGCTCTGCCTCTGATTGGCTGATCTAACTTTCATTTTTTGGTTCCTAAATGCAGGAAAACGATAAACAGAAAGATGCAGGAGGGCAGTCTGTGTTTGGGAGGTCTACAGGTTAGAGCCGGGAATCCTGACCCACTCCCACAGACTGCCACTCTGGGTCCCTCAGCCCCACTCTGCTCCTACCGTGGCAGCCCTCTGCTCCCTGAGGGGAGGGGTTAAACACTCCGATCTCAGATCAATAAAGTTCCATTTATTGTTTATTGATCATTTATTTCGAACGCTTAATAAAAAGCAAATATAAGTAAATTAATAAAGTCAAACAAAACAAAACAAAGAAGAAAAAGAAAAAAAAAACATGTACATCCCATCATGTTCGAAAAGGAGTAGGAAGAAGTAATAAAACTTATTTCTGTTTTATTAGGAGCAGAATCAAACCGCCCGCCGTTCATCATCACTGTTTTCACCATTACTGCTGTTTTCACCATTACTGCTGTTTTCACTATAGGGCTTGGTTGTCGTGACGTAGGCACTTCGCGTCGCCGCCATGTTGAATGCGTCTTTTACCGCTGCTCAGACTACTGCCTATGACTACCGCGTACTGTACTCCCTCTCAGCCGTGTTTTAATTTGATTAATTTCACCTTAACTTGATTTCAACCATGGTAAACCGTTGCTGTATTGTGGGCTGTAACAGCTCAACACATGATCGCCATGGAAACATAGAAAAAGGTTTAACTTTCCACTGCTTTCCTGACTGGAGGCGTAACCATGGAGACCAAGCGTCAGAGATAAAGAGTCGTCGGCTAACTTGGATCGCGACTGTAAGACGACTGAACAT